CGCGTTTCACTGCGCAGTCTGAATGTACCCTGACTCCTTGTCATTTCAGCTCTTTGAGTCTTATCCCGATGGCTCTTCTTGGTACGTCTTCCTGTTAATATTTCTTTAACATACAGGAACTGAAAATATTCTTCTGCTGCCAGATCTATGCAGCTCTGTAGGCAAGAACCATGAAAAGCACTTAGTATGTGTGTGATTTGAGAGCTGTATTAACAGGATAGCTAGGGTGAGATCCCAGGCAAAAAGAGTAAGTTTATATACTAGAAATAATGTATTATTTAATTTTATGTATATCAAAATGTGATAGTAAGCATAGCAGCAGGTGGTACATCACCTACAGTAAGAGTCATATTGCTGAACACTACTTGTAAGTTGTAAAAATAATGAGATCACGGAAAGCACATGACTGTTAACTTTGTGTATACACAGGGTAGTCATAAACAGGAAAGGAGAACAGCCTGTCACAAATCTCCCCAGGTCACACTCTTCTGTAATGTCTTATTTTCTGATAGGTTTTTCTGATGCAATTTTAAATGCCTCAATTTTCACAGAGTTCTTCTCCCTACCCCAATGTTATGGTTTTACATGGGAAACCAAGACCACTACCCATTCTTGTGGTACTTGTTGCTTGCAGTTTCCCATTGCCCATCAGATTGTTCTTGTTGTGTGCATGTGGCACCTGCATAGGAATGTTAGTTATGTAGGAAGTAAAATGAGTCTGCTTACAGCTCTTGGTCCATCTGTACCCATTTGTAAAGTCTGCAGCCATAGGCCCAGAGGTTGGAATTAACACCATTTGTTCTTGTCAGTGCACAGTGTCTTGGGAGACAAAAAAGTATTATTTCTTGTTTTAAGAAAAAAATATTGTTTTTCTTTAATATACATATATATGTATCTCTGTTTGTGTGACACTATGTACATGTGCAAACATAAGAGGTAGATGATGCTGCTGCTTACGGGAAAAAACATTTCTTAGAACTTCTTTCTTGCTGCAAAAGGTGCCTCAAAGTAGCTGATCCATTCAAAGCTTCAAAAAGTGTTGAAACTCTTCTCTCTTCTCTTAGAGCTATTTTAATTTGAGATCTCAGAAGCAGTAATGTCTTCTTGGTGGAGCAGGACAGCTGAGTAGGATTTTTAGTTTATCAGCAGCTGTAGTCTGTGTGTCATTGTAAGATATCTGTCTACTGTATTTTATTTCTTCATTATGCACTGCATTTCCACACCAAGCATAAAAGCACATTTTACACAAGCCAATGGACTAAAGTAATCTTCATCAGATTTATAATTGAATATTTTACTTCCTGCTAAATAAGACTGCAGCAGCATCCTGAACAGATCCCATTTCCCACCCACTTAGCTCCATTCAGTTGAACAAAACAATTTCCTCCTTCCATCCTAAATTGTTTTGCAGTTTTTTTAGGATGTCTTTACCAGGGGATGCATTTTAAAAGTGTGTGAATTGACAAGAGACAGAGTTTAACACGCATTTATTTAAGTATGCAAAATTTGTTGGGAAAGTAGGTGTTGAGTCCAAATAGTTGTATGTAGAAGAAAAATCTCAAATATACTTCTATGGCAAGTTTGTATGATAAATATGTGTATAAGAATCAGTAACTTTAGCAGTCTAAGTATAGGTGAAGATGGAGATTTCCAGAATTTTTATGGTAATTTCCCATTGATAGGTTGTCTTCCTGTAAACATTAATACTATGGCAATACTTATATAACAAATGATCCATGTAAATCCTTAACAGGAGGAAAAAGTGTGGGTTGTGTTCCCTTGAGCAATCACTATGCCAACTTTCAGTCTTTTACCTCCAAGCATACATAAGTGTGTTGCATAAATCCTATCAGAAGACATTCTTGACAATGGAACAAAGCAGATTTTTCCACCTGCAGATTATTCACTTTACTTTTTCACACAGTGCAGTAGTGAGGATCTGGAGAATCAGACTAACTTAACTGAATGTTTGTCCAGCAAAGGATAGTTACCTCTGCACAAATATAGTTTTCAGCCCACGAGTTCTGAGAGTGACCTCACAAATTGATTCATTTCATACAGTTTGATAAATCTGGTCTCTTACACTGCAAACTAGCATGGTAATGTAAAGCACAGAAGTGGTTTCTTTTGAGAAATAAATAATTTCCTCTAAAATATAGCAACAGATTCTGTCCTACCTCCAAAGTACATCCTTCCTGCTATGTAGTGCTCTGGGGAAACATTGCTACAAATAAATATAAATATATATTTATATAAATATTAACATAAAACCAGAAGGAAAATAAAGGAAAGAAAGAAATACTCTCCAAGACTTGTGTATATAAAACTATAGAAGGTCATTCAAACTCCCTACATCAAGACAACTTCCTTACAAGTGTCACATGTCAGCAGTCACGGTGAAGTCAGGCTGCAGAATTTGCCACATACCTGTGCTTCTCATAACTTCTTTTATTTGTGTTCTTACCCTTTTCTAAAGGAAAGGTTTTGCAAGCTTGGGATGAGATGGGGCAAGGACTGCAGAGTGGGACTAACTGGCTGTGGGAACAGTTAAATCAGCCATTTGGGAACACCAGTAAGAACAGAAAACGTGAAAATAGCATGGATTTCTCTTTCCATGGATTGTCCATGGACCTCAGTAAGAAGTAGGAATAACACTACATGCAAAAGCCATGCCAGCATCTGGCTGGGCATTGCACTCTTAGGAGTTGTGATTGTTCTGCATCCAGGGCACTGCTGATGTGGTGGGAGATGAGGCAGAGATGGCAAACAGGAGGGTGAAGTTTAGGGGCAGATTGAAAGGAGTTCTTCTTGACAGGAAATGGTGGTGGGGTGGGGGGGGGGGGGTTCAGGAAATTGTACTTTTTAAGCTTTTAAAAAGGTTTTGGGGAAAAGTTGTTAAGAAGCTATGTTTTCAAGAAATTATACAGCCCGACCTTGAAGCTGACTTTGGTTAGGGCCAGGCCTTAAAACTTGCACAGCTTGAGGTTCTGGGCTGTCCATCAGAGGTCTTTGGTTCTACCCCCTTCTACACAGAGAGAAGAAGGGTATGATGTTCAGCTAAGAAATGTCAGAGCAGTAATAGCCTCTTAATTAGACATTAGGACTTCCCTTTAAATATAGGTAAAGGTTCTGTGCTGTCCTGACAGCCTTTGTCATGGGAACCTGACCTCAGAAAGGAGGGAGAGTGGTGGTTCCTGCCTTATAATTTTAAGCCAGATGAAACAATATCTGCTCTTAGCTTCCTTAGGAAAATTTCTAGTCAATCAGACCCTTTTTTTGTTGGAGACCTATCTTTAGCTACCAAGGCATTTTAAATTTTTCAGTAAATTTCTCAAGGCCACAGGAGTAGAAAATAAGTAGAAGAGGAAATGACCCATGAAATATTTGCAGAGGTGATGTTTTGTGTGTGTTCTGCTAAAATGTTTCCTTGAGTGCATTAAGTGTTTATATAGCACTGCAGCCACTATTAATCCAAGTAGTCATGTTTTTCCTAGCCCACCACGGACCCTTACCTTATGGCCACCCCATTGAAATTAATCAAAGTGATCACAGAGCTGTCATCACTGAAAAATAGTTTATTATTTTAGAAAATGTGATCTATTTCTGCCTGACCAGAGCTGGATGTTCCTAAAAATATTGAGAATGTTGATGTTACATGGGTGGTAAACATCTTCTTTAACAGATACACAGGCAAAAGAGGCAAATGAAGAACCAGTTGATCCTGTAGTTCAACTGGTAATATGTGATTAGTTCAAAACTAAAGTGCCACATGCAGAGGGCTTACACTGTGATCATAAAAATACCTACTTTTCTGAGAACACAGGAGGAAAAGCTTTTTCATTATTTTGATTGGACATCCTAAAATATGTTGCCTATTTAAAAGTGTGCATTATTAATAGAATGCAACCTATCTTTAGTACTGATTTGGTTTTCATTTCTCCTCATATTTCCTACCTCCTCTCTTCAGGGATTTTTTTTCCCTTTTCTATCCCATTCTGTTTCATTTGTATATGCAGGAACAGCTTGAAAGATACTGGTGTGTAAGCAGCTACTCATATATCTGGCACATCAGCTAATTCTTAGCTACAATAAGCAGAGGTTCATCAGGTTGCAAAGTTCAGCCTCATGACAGGCAGAAACTCACTGAGGTGTTATTCTGAATTTCTGGTCTCCACTGGGCAATTCACCCATGCTCCCCCCCCCCACTCCCCCACACACACACCTTTTATCACAAAAATGGTGCTTCACTCTTTTTTTTCAGGTGAGAATGAGAGATTTAGTAACATAATATTAAAATTTCCTTTGTCTCCAAATTTAGTATCCTGTTTTTGTGTCTGTTCCAAATAAATAAAGAAATGTAAATGGCTGCTGTTCTTCCTGCCTGAACTGGACCAGGATGTTTGAACCTTTGGCCTTTTAAGAAATGGCAGTTTTTCTAAAGTTTTTCTAAGGAATTTCTCAGTCTTTCTAAAGAATTGAGACAATTGCAGAAAACATAAAAGTTCTAAATATTTGATATCTGTCACTCTTCATTTTTGCCCTTATGACATTTGCCTCTTCCTAACCTCCTATCTTCCAGTACTGTCATCCTTTTATTCTGTTTTTAAAAATTTTAATCTCCTGGGGGAAGGAAAGGATGATTTATCTCTTCCTGCTGCTCCCTGTTCCTGGTATCTGCCTCATCCCAGGCCTCCAGAATGTAACCATATTTTGTCCAGTCATTCCTGCATTGCCCTTCATTATAATTTCTTATCTTGCTGTATGTAAACATTTCCTTCCCTCTGTCTCTCATTTTGCTTCTGCTGCTCCTACTAAAACCCACACTTCAGCTTAAATGAAAAGCAGTAAAAGACAACTTGCCTGATGTAATTTTAACCATCACCCCCTTTCTCATTTATTTGCTTTCGTTAGATGAAATTTAAGTTCTTTTGCAGAATCTTCCACAATAAAGTTTTTTCTCTTGTGTTTCCGTTGAATGTTCACGATAGTTGTAAATTAGACAGGAGAAGAAGACAGTAACAATGGTCTCTCTTCACTCTAAAAACCTGAAGTGCTGTAAGGCTACAGTGGATAGGAATATACAATTAATATAGTTGTCTGTATCATCACTGATTGTAACAATTTTGCAACTCTACTCAATCAAATTAATAACTGTTACCTGCAAGCCAGCATTAAGACAAAAATTAGGGGAGAACTAGAAGTTCTTTCTCATGGCAGAGCTGCAGAGAATTTGGCTATGGGTATTAATAGCTAAGCTATCATATTGCCTTTGAATTTAAAAGAGAGAAAAGTCACATTTCCAAATACTAGTTTCATTGTACAAGATTGTTAGTTGTTGAAGCCACTAAATACAAGATAAAAATTGGTAGTGTAAAGTTTATTTTTCTTGGCTGAATTCTAGAGATTTTTTTTAGCCTCATACTTCTCTGCTTAGCTAAATTGTATAAATAGCAGATAAAATATTTTTAATTTAAACAAGTAGGTGCCCCTCAGAAGCAGTGACAATACTGAGAAATACACTAGTCCTGTGTTTTAGTTCTGGACTAAGACCTTGCCAGAAAGGTGCCTCTTGAACATTTGCCCACTTTATAATCCAAATACCAGTTAAGGGATGAAAACTGCAGTGTTCTAGCTGTGCAGATTTACTGACATTGAGTTCAAAGGAGTCCAGAACCAGGTGGATGTGAACTGACTGTGCCAGGGAGAAGCAGTGTAATGGGAGCACGAGAAAAATCCAGAATTACTTTTTCCACAAATAAAGATATTATATTAGAACATCAAACTGCATACTTCAATAAAGTAATTTTGTGACTGTAGTGGGGGGGGGCTGTTGGTTTAAGGACAGGATTATTATCTGTGCTGGAAGACACAAGTATTGTGCAGCCTCTCTCAGAGTATGGTCTGGGGGTTCTGCATTTCCACCATTTCCAGCTATATAATTCCCATCACACTTGCTATCACAACTCTGTTACACACAGTTAAACTGCAAGTCAAGACAATGTCAGATACATGTCAGATTAAATGTCAGATTAAATCTCAGAATAAAAATGTCAGATAAGACAAGAAAACGTACTCCAACTGGACACAAAAGGAACCTCTGATGATATAGATAGAGGAAATTATATTGCTTTGAAAATGCACCAGGATGTTTGTCCTAGGGTGACATTACGGTGTTTGTATCTCCAATCGTGTGTTCTGTTTATGTTTGATATTGTGTTCTGTGCTTTCAGAACTGACTCTGAAAGTGAAGGTGTGTTTTGTCTTCTTATCAGCTAGTTCACCTCCCCCCATGGTCTGCTGTCTAGAAAAGGCTGGTGCTGGGTGGCTGGCTTTTGCTTACTTGCTTTGCTTGCTTCTGCTTTTGCCTTTGCTTCCTAGTTAGTTTAGCTAAGCAGTCCAATTCTTTCCCTGGACTGTTTCTTTTTCTTTCCTTTCCTTTTTCTGAATACCATCCAACCTGCTCCGGACTGGGACCTGGAAACACCAAGG